TAGGCAAGTAGCAACTAGCATGGAGGGAGTTTCAAAGCCTTGCTTCCATTCACTCTCTATTCTTGTGCTCTATGCTGCAGCTTGAAGCTTTGGGGAATTAGTAGTTTAAATCTTCAGCATTATGTAACACTTTTATATTTAAGGCTGAACATTAAAGAAAAGAACCATGTCTATGGAGTGTCAACCGCTGACATTTTCTTTTCTGAACTACTGTACCAGCTGCAAATGTGTAGTCGCTTTGTTGCACGGCTACCATGTTCCCAGGCCTCCAGTACAGAGGTGCCCGGTGAGGCACAGCCACACGGTTCTGGAGGTGAGCACAGACTGTGTTTGCCATGCTGGAGATCCCAACTGTCAGCTTAATCCTACCAGCCTGCTTTGACAGCAGGACTTTTGCTCCAGACACACAGGTCACTGTGGCTGGGGGCGGTAGATAGGTTCCTGTGTTTTGGCACAGGCAGTCAAATTAAGGCTTATGTTCTCCTCAGGCAGGCAATTACGTACATAGGAGTATTCTTGATATTATAACAAAAAATTATTGGTTAGCTCACACCACTGGTGAATGAGTTTGCAGTCAGGTAAAGAATAATGAGACACAGGTTTATAAGGTGAAGCCACCTAATGGTGCCCTGTTTTTTCTCAGTTCAACCAATGTGAAGAAGTGGGAAACGGAGCTGCAGACGCTGCGGGAGAGCAACGCCCGGCTGACCACGGCACTACAGGAGTCTGCGGCCAGCATCGAGCACTGGAAGAAGCAGTTCTCAGCCTGCAAGGAGGAAAACGACCAGCTCAGGAGCAAGGTAGCAGAGCATACCCGCAGGAGAGCCATCTCTTCCAGTTAGCTGTTCCTGCCACTTCTCTTTCTCTTGGCTCTCTGCTGCTTTGTGTGTGTTAGGAGACAGATTTTGTCGTGGATGGAGGGTTTAGGGCAGCTCCTTCCCTCTGCACACAGTGGGCAGGGAAGTTCAAAAGGCTGGGGATCAGTGGGAGGACTGGTGCTGCCATGTAACATGAAGCTCCCTGACTCTTGATTTGGGAGAACTGGTGTCAGCAGGGGTTGCTGGCCAGGGTGATAAAACAGTAGGGTTTTAAAAGTAGGAATACTATTGCATATCCCTTTCAAAACTTACTTAAATACTGCCAGATGATGAATGAGCAGAAGGCATGGTTATGGCCTGGTTACCCATAGGAAACTAGGCTGGGAACAATACAGTATTAGAAACAAATCCTGATGGCAGGCAGGGGAATGAGGACATCAGTTACGTCTGTGAGCTGGGTCCTCCAGCGCTAGTGCTGAGCACATCTTGCTCCAAAACCTACCAAGAGGCATCGTGGAGCAACGTTTTCCCAAGGCAGATCCTCTCTACCTATTTGCATGCGTTTTAGGTGTGCACAGTGATAATCCAGAGATCAATGCAGAGCTCTATTAACTGATGTTACATTAAAAATTAGTATTAGTTGTTACATGATTTGGGTTCCTATATCCAGTCTTTTTTGGACAGCGGAGATGTGAGAGACTGGAACAGTATGTTACAAGAAAATACGATTTATTGCAGTGTAGTTTTTTAGCTTTCTGTACTGTTGCACAGAAAAGTTGTTCTCATTAACTGGTGAAACATGCCACGTCTCAGTAGCTGTAGCCTAGATATGAAGAGATTATCAAAACTCTGCCTTACTAAAGCTGCAAAGTCATCATACCAGTGACTAGGCAGGCTGTGCAGGCACACTGTGTAATGTGCTGTCTTTCTCTGTACGAGAGGTTTTCTGAGCTTTCCCCCAATATGCTCCTTGCTCAACGCTCACACTGCACCACCGCAGCGCCCTGGGAAGTTCCATCTCCTTTATTAATTGGGTCAGAATTTTTTGCATATTGCTCTACCTTCAAATGAAGGAAGTTATAATCCCAAAGCAACATGAAGCCGAGAATTAAAGTACATACTTTAATGAGCTGGCCCATCTCCTGGGAGCCAAGCCCAGAGCTGTCAGGAGAACGTATGGAGAGAGCAAAGCACATCCCTGGGCAAGAGAACAAAGCAGCATACACTGCTCTGAATTGGTTCTCTCCCCAAAGTTTTGAGGATGTGTCCCTCGAACTCCAGCTAGAATAATAAGCAACCCCTGAGGAGGCAAAGCTGGGAGCACTGGAGAGATTTCTTCTCCTTGCTGTGTTAAGAAAACCCACCCCTTATAGTCTTGTGTTGGTTTCATAGAAGTGAAATGCAGATTTTATCCCCAGCTCCACTTCATCTTAGCAGCTCAGTGTTTTGTGCATTCCTGACTACTTATATGAGATACTGTGCAAGAGAGTATAAACACAGTCCCAGGGCTTCCTAGTGGAAGCGTAAATTGGCTCTTTTGAAGAAAAGAAGCGATAATTTGATTGCAGTGAATCAAGTGCTATGATTTAGGAAACAGATCCATGACAAATTAAAATTGTCCATGCTTCCCCCTGCTCACTGGAGCAATGCCCATTTCCATCAGCTGTGTTCTGCCCCAGATTCTCAGAAATCTGAAAAATTTCACCTAATGTCTGACATTTGTTAAAGATTGAAGAACTGGAGGAACAATGCAGTGAAATAAATAAAGAGAAGGAAAGAAATGCACAGCTGAGTAGACGTCTCCAGGAACTGGAAACAGAACTTCAGGACAAAGAGCTGGTAAGTGTCCTGAACCCAGAAATTACATGCTTTAGAGTTTGAGTGGGTCTGTCTGCTTCTTACTTGGGATGTAGATTTATGGGCTGGCTCACCTACGGCCAAAAGCAACCCAATGTCTCAGGGTATTGCTTGTTCCTAGGTTTTTCATGTACAGCTCCTTAGCAACAGTTTGGTAGAGTTCCTCAGCCTCCGTTTCGTGATGTATTTTGCACTGTGACAGCATACTTTAATTTGACAGTGGTTAACAAACTACTTTTATATACAACACTTTACCTCTAACAGAAGAGCTCAAGTGGTGATACTTGTTGCTCAAAGCCAGACAGATGTATGCTGAGAACAGTTTTGTTTGCCAGTCCCCATCCCTGAATTCACACAGACATAAGCACCATCATTAAAAAAACATCATTTACAAAATCACATGGCATTTGTGTGACAAGTCCTGTTTCTTTTTCTGGGTGGCTCGTAGTCTTCAGCTTTGCCATTTTACAGTCTCCCTCTGATCTCAGGACTAATGCCAAAAGTGAGAAATTCAGATTCATTTAGAGTACCCTGATTCGTCCTTTTGATGTACAGTGTGTCCCATTTTTCTAAGGAGAATGATACTGGTGGCTTGGAGCCCCTGAACAGTGGTGAAAATAATGGGATCCTTGTTTTTTTCCTTCATTACAGTGACCAAATGCTCTATGCTGGATGAAGAGAAAAAGCTGTCTGCAGGTGCAGTGAAGTTTGCCATGTGCCATTGCAGCATCTCTGCTGATGCTCTTAAAAGCAGTGCTGTTAAGGGGTTTTAAGATAGCACAAGGAAATAGTTTAGGGAGATGGATTTTGATGCACTGTTATGAATATAATCATTTTCAGACCCATATTTCAAAGGAAAATGCTTTCTTCCCAACCTTTCTGTGGTAATAGCATGTATAATAAGCATTATACTCTGCTAGTGTTTTTCCTCAAGATTCATGTTTACGGTACCAAATGAACCAGAAAATTGATTGACTTGTGAACCCTACATACCTATCTTCCATTTACACTGACAATATACTAACTTGTTTTCAGACTGCATACTCACATTAGCAGGTTCTTCATTAGGTCTAAACCACTCATAAGTAACCTTTTCGTGGTCTGCAGTTCAAACCAGCATGAAGCCTGCTCATGGACAGTGCTGTGCAAGAAGAGATGCTGATATCCTCTTCATGTAGGAAATGAGAAAAGTAGAGAAATGTAAAGACATGGGAATCAGGACAGAGCTATCAAGTGGAATATTTATATTTTTATATAATATGCCATATACTGTATATAAAGTAATACTGTAATATGCTATATATAGTAGTATATGTAATATACTGTACACTGTAATATACTATATATGGTAAGTATATACTTACAGACAGAGCCTTGGGCAACATAGTTTAGTGTGTGGTGTCCCTGCTCATGGCAGGGGGGTTGGAACTAGATGATCTTAAGGTCCTTTCCAACCCTAACTATTCTATGCTTCTATGATTCTATTAGAGTATAGTAGTTATATATAGAGAGAGAGATAGTAAGCATATATAGTATAATAAAATTATATTTTGAGATGCAAGCTCCCTGGCATTATTTACGAATATACAGATATATATGCATGGGTAATGGGCACAACTGAAACACAGGAAGTTCCATCTGAATATGAGGAAGAACTTTTTAACTTCGAAGGTGGCAGAGCACTGGAACAGGCTGCCCACAGAGGTTGTGGAGTCGTCTTCTCTGGAGATACTAACAACCTGCCTGGACATGACCCTGTGCAACCTGTGCTAGGTGACCCTGCATTAGCATGGGTTAGTCTACATGATCTCCAGAGGTCCCTTCCAACTCCAACCATTCTGTGATTAAGTGATGTGTTTTGGAATGCAGACGTGCTATTTTGGTTATTTTACATCCACATACTTTGCAGAATACAATAAAATACGCAAAGCCATTTCATAATCTCAAATCTCAAATTTCCATTATGTTTTAAATTGAAGCTTGCACTAATATATTTCTTTTTCTTTATATTTTCAAAGGAACTGGAAGAGCTCCGAAAGCAGGGTGAAATTATACCACAGCTAATGTCAGAATGTGAATCTGTATCTCAACAATTACAGGTACAGTTAAGCAATTAAATTAATTTTAAAATAGTTGATACATTTACTTTGTCATAAATATATGCTTTTATCTGTTCAGACCTCAGTGTTTGGAGGCAAAAGACCTCTAGTTTGTAAAATGTTAATTACATGCAAAATATACCATGCCCTTCTAAGCACAGGAGTAGGTAAATAGCTCCATTTCTTTGCCTTGCTGTTCACAGAAATTGGTTTGCCTGGGATTGTATTGCATCTGTCTGCTGCAGATCCCAGGCTATCCTGTATCCCATATTTCTGATGGTCTGGGCTTGTGGAGCCACACCACAGCCATGTGTGTCAAGCGGCACACCAAGACCTGCGGCTGATAGCCGCCAGTGGCGCCAGGGAAGGCTCTTTGGAAAGAAACAGATGAGCATAGTTGCACATAACCAGGGAAAGAAGTTCACCTGAGGATGCATTTACATGCTGTGTCATTCCTTGCCAGCATCACCTAGCTTGCTGTGGCTTTGTTTTGCACATGTAGCTGCTCTGCTGGGAGGTGCTCAGGCAGACTGGAGCTCACTGGGCTGCTGGAGCCCTGCCCAGGCAGTGGCTGGGCTTTGGGCACCACTTGTTAAAGTTGGGGCTTGTGCAAATGCAGTAAATAGATAAATGGAAGGAGAACAAATATAAGCAGTATCTCATCAATGAAGTAAAATCCAATTGAACAAATAAGACATCATTCTGATGATCTAAACGCTGTAAAATCATTTAGAAGGCAGGTACTAATATTGTAAAAATATGAATTCTGTTTTGTTCAGGATGGTAATGTATGTCATCTCTGGCTTTTGATGAGAATATGTGCTTACATGCGTGCAACAGAGAACAATAGGCAGAAGAGCTAATGAGAGGGGAAAATAATTGAATGAACTGCAGCAAGGGAGGTGTTACGTGCCTGCCCTGTTCCTTGCACAAGTGCTCACACAGAGTGGAACTTCAAAAAAATGCCAATAAATCCAAAGGTGCTGAATAAAGCAATATTATTCCTCAGACAATATTTTCTAAGCTTGTTTTTCAGTGTTAAACCACCATAGATAATTCTGTGTATAATTGGTGGCACAGTCTCTAATTCTGCAACTGTAGCAATGACAGAAATACATGCACAGTGCATGATTTAAATCCAGCTGAATTTTAAGATATCAACCAAGTGACAAAATCTGATGCAAAGCATCTTTTCCAGTTAACCTGTGTCCGTTCCTGCGTGGGCTTTCTTTCCTTTTCATCTGACTAGCACATGTCACTTGCTCCTGTTAATCAGTTTGCAGAAGTCAGAGCAAACTCTTACAGCCCAGCTGTCATTTGTTGCTTTACCCTATTAAATGCTGTTCATCCTTCTTCTCTATGATTCATCTTATTGTCTCTTTTGTCTTTAAGGCTGCTGAGAAAAAGAACAAAGATCTTGAAGAGAAAGTCAGAACACTAAGGACAGAAGTCGAAGAGAGCAAACATAGGCAGACCAACCTTAAAACTGAATTAAAGAATTTTTTAGATGTACTAGATGGGAAGATAGATGAATTACATGATTTCCGACAAGGACTGTCTAAACTTGGGGTTGACAATTAGATGGCAATAGATTTCCTTTTTTGTAATCTAGGGTCTGGATGTTTGATGTTTTGTTGATCCCAAACATGTGTTTTACAAAATATAACTAGAATGTTCCACCTGTTTGCATTGGTTTTGTACATAGAGGCTGAAAATTTGCTGTGGGGGTTTTGGGATTATTTTTTTCATGTGTTTCTTTTCCAAACCAGTCGTGCTGCTCACTGAATTTTGTTGAGATTAGAAACTTCATATATTGCTGCTCTGGCTTTGAGGGGTTGGGAACAGGTAGAGGGTTCCGTCTCAGGAATCTGGAACTAGATCTACCTTAAAATGAATATGCAGTTAGTTGTTGCAGGGAAATTTATATCTTTCTTAAGGGCTGTTGCAACCATAGAAACAGAAAACTAGTCTTTTTCTTGTCTGGACTGTCGGCACTCCTAGCAACATCAACTTTTATTCCTTGGTGGAGCAGAGGGAAGATTAGCTGGAGCTCCTGCAGTGTGTAGAATGTGCCTGTGATGAGCTGCAGTCAAGTGAACCACTTCACGCAAATACCAGTATCTTTAGGGACCATGTCAGTCAGGCCTGATTTACCAAAAAAGAAATCCAGTGGATATCAGATAACCTCCAATACAGGTTGTATGTGCTTGCCTGGACCCATAGAGCACAAAGTCAATGACATAGAAATATATTTCAGCTCTTCAACTCAAGCATCTTATCCAGTAGGTGAGGACAGCTTCTCTTGCTTGGCAAGGCCATCTCTCTTTGGCCTTCAGTTTTGAACCCATATAGTTCCATGTGCATCTCTGAAAAATGCCCACCTGAGTCTTGGGACCAGGTATGTATTTTAGAAGGTTTTCACACTGGGTGCATACACCTCTGTGCAGCTTGATCACTGTTGATTAACTTCTGCAGTAGTGGAGGAGACATTAATCTGAAAAGCAATATAAGGCTTCTTGAAGGTCTTGCTCAGAAGCACGTTTCTGCCCAGGAGACTGGCAGGGTCATGACCACATGAAATCAGAATCCTTTCTGATGATTTCTGACTTCTCACCTTGTATGTCTTTGACAGTGGGGTGGGAGCTGATCACCAAGTTAGACTGTCCAAAAAAACCCCACCCCAACCCAAACAGCAGAAATGCTGTTGTTTGCTCAGACTGGTTATTCAGCAGCTCTAAGTATGTGTTCAGGAATGCGAGGTCATATGCTGGGCTCCACTGAGAAGGAAGTTCACTTCATCACAGACAGGGATGTAAAAAGGGACAGGGAGGAGAATTCAGCCCAAGTCTCTTCTTTCTCCATAACCTGGTTTGAGGTTTACATGGGATCTGAATTAATTCAGAAAAGAACTTTTGTTTATGTGACATTATTATTTGCTTAATTCAGGTGAAAGCTTGGTTAAGCACTGCATTAGTGCATTCCAGCAGTGATTGATATAGAATGGTCATGTTTTACTTACAGGCTTTTTTCTTTTCTCAGCACATCTCAATTATAAAAGTGACCTTTAAAAGAAAGGTGAGTTATGATGAAACATGCATTGAATATCTTTTATACGTGGATATATAATCCCCATGCTAAAGTCAGGTTCTGTCTGTAATTGTCCCTTGAATTTTTATCTGTTACTGTTGCATTACCTTCAATCCCTGTTTTTTAGACTGGACTACTTTGTGTATTTTTGCTTTACTCCTTTTAAACAATGATGTGAAGCCAGGACCTTGCAGAAGCATTGTGACCACTTAAGTCTCTTTTAAAAAAACTGTTGTAGGCTGTTGATATTTTAAAATAAAAATAAAAACCAGGTACATAGCATGTAGGTGTGTGAAAATTAGACTTTCCCAGTATGGAAGATTCAACAGTTGCATAATGTGGGGTTAGATCAGACTTCTCAAAATTGAAAATGACATCAGAAACTATGTGTGGTTGTGCGCAAGTAATCTGCCTTTTTAGGTTTTTTATTTGATAGCAAGTCAGATAGACACCATCATTTAACAGGAAGTTAATGGTCCTGCTTCTCCTCTGCTTCCATGCTGCTTTAGAGTTCCTGAGCTGCAGCTGGTCCCTACATCAGCTGGGAATCATGGGATAACACAACTAAGAGCTGCAAGCAGTACAGTTAGTCAGGGCCCTCCTCGTCACAGTGATTTACTGCTTTTGCGCTGAGGACCCTGCTCCATCTTCCGGCTCCTTTTTCTTGTTGAGCAGTCTCAGGGCTTCCTTCTTGGTTTTAATATAAAATATGATTTTTAACATGATCCTGAGTAGATGGGGTTAATCCAGATCTTTTTTTCCACTTTAGTTGGGTCTATCTCAGATCCAGTTCATTAGGAATGTATTAAGCCACTCTTAAAATGCAAGAAAAGTGTTTCTATGGGACTGCATCAATTTAACAGATGGAGCTTAATGCTGGTGCATTAAACCACTGCATAGCTCTGACATGGGTGGTTATTTCTGGGTGCTTCGTGCCCACCAGAGGAACAGTGGGGGTGTCCTTAGAGAAAACTCTACCCCGTCTCTTCTAGTTTTGTCCCAAATGTATGCTTTCTTTATCTGCTATTGCTCTGAAGCTGAGTTGTTAGGGATGCCTGTATACAGCTATATGCTGTGAGGAACTCCACCATCCAAGGTCTTGCTATAATTACCTTCTTTCTCTCTTTTTCCTTCCCAACAGCAGTAAGTTGAGAGCTTCTATGTATAATCACTTAAAAACCTCCCCCAAACTCCATCTCTTTTAACCTTTCCCCCTCTTTCACTGTATTTTTCCTCTTCTAAAGTGTGCTAGGAAGCTGCAGTGGGTGCTCTCAGGAGTGTTTGTTTGGATGCCAGCCTGGCCCCATCCCTGCCCCATGTGCCTCTTGGGTGGGGACCATCGGTCTCACTGCTTATTCCTTGATGCTCTGTGGTGGTTCAGCAATAACCCCTGCGTGCCAAACTGTGACCCCCACACTGCTCCTCAGGGACTTATCCTGATGTCGAAATGCCTCCTCCCTCCCAGCGGGAGCACCGAGGCAGCCAGCCTTCCCCCACCAAAATGCCTGCACCATCCTGTGGATGCATTTATTCCCACTTTTGTGCCTGTCCCCATGGGCACCCCAAACCAGGAACTGCACTCAGCTGGCAGCCACCTGCTTAGAGGTGGCCCCAAACACTGCTGGGGCCAAGAAATGCTCATCCCTGTCCACGAGAGGGTCTGCAGAGCTTGGTTTTATTTGTTATTAAAATAGGGTGCTGTGCAAACTCTGGTTTCCCCATGCCATCAGCAATGAAGTAGGTCGTCGCTCCATTTCCTTCGAGCCTGAGTGGAGGTGTCTTCAGACAAGGTTGTATCTCGCCTTGGGCAATCATAGAATCAATCATGGGTTCTCTTTCTGGACACAGGTTTTTCTCTCCAAGTGGTTGATGGCAGGGTCTATCCTACCTCAGTTACATGGTCTTGTGTTAATAAGGGTCTTGTGCTTGGCACTTCCCATGCCGATACCCGCCGGCTGCACCGCTGCGGATCCCACCTCACTGCCCATCCTGCCTGCCCGGCCCTGGTGGCAATGACAAGCTGGTGGCTCTAGGAAGAAAAATCTCTGCTGGCCTCTTGTGCCACTGAGTTAGAGAGTGTCTTATTGCCTTCTGGGCTTTCCAGTGTGATGCTCCTTTGAGCTGGTGTTAGAGCTGCTGAATAATGGTGGGGTGGTGGTTTTTGGTAGCCAAAAAGAGAAACAAACAGGCCTACTTTGCATTAGCACAAAACCTAAAAATGTTCAGTGACATAACAATACATGGAGGTAATTGTTTTCAAGGGAAAGAATGTTCTGTTAGATACGTTATTTCACATCTTGGAAAATGACCTTAGCCTCATCTTTGAATAAATTATTTCCATATGAAAAACTGAAATGTTTTTTCACACCCCAAAATAAAGAGGTTAACCACCTGCTCTTTTTCTATTTGGCTGAATCTTTATTTGCTGATTTTGACTCAACTTCACAAGTAGTTTTTTGTTTGGTCTAAAAGCGCATTTTCAGCAAAATTAGTACTTTTCGTGTTCTTCTGTCTATATCTAATTGGTGTCTCCTTTACTGAGTGAGCTCACTGGAAGGAAACTGTCTTTTCTGTAAGAAATCCAGTGCCACCTCTCACTTTCTATATTCTATATTCTAGCATTTGAAAGGTGCCCTTTTAAAAATAGATTTACACTGGGTGCATCTGTGCCCAGAAAACAAATATTATTTAGACAATGCTTTTTTTCTAGAAAAACAACTGATTTTATTTTAATGTGAATGATTTAAGGTGAATGTTTTTTAAAGCTGCTCAATGAATTAAGGAGGGTGTGAGGGGTTTCTGCTGTTCCTCCTGCTCTCCCTGCCACTGCCATTGCTTTGGAGGAGCATCAGCAAAAGCATTTGTGATGTTAAGGCAGGTGCTCACCCTGTGTTCATCCTGTGGCTTGTCGGGCTCAGGGAGCCCATGTCTTTCAGCCCAGCACATGTTGTCTGTAGGTTTCTGCACTCTACGCTGTGTAATTGTATTTTATTTTGCAAGTGTTCATTTTCTCCCTTATTAGTTTCTTTGGCTGCTTCATGAATGACAGGAGGAAAGCTCCCTGTTACTGCCACCTCGTACTGGTGGGAGTTTCTCAGCTACAAGACTGCTCTTCGTTAGGCTCTTCTGAATGCTTATCTCTGCAAAACCCTTCAAAGCATCAATGGCTTGTAAGGAATATAGTGCTGTCTTCCTGAGCCTACGGATTAACAAAGATAAAACTGCTATCAGGGTGAAATGCCCGGCTCAGCTCAGTGTGTGACTGATGCTGGATCTGAAGGAAACAGGTATGAGAGGGGATCATCATCAGCAGCAGCTAATTTTGACAATCGTTTCAGCAGAAGCTTCAGTGAAAGATGTGCTCTGCCTACAAGCTGTGGATATGCCAAAGGTCTAGGATGGCCATGCTGACCTGTCAGCTCACCCACCTTAGTCTGGGCAGTTCTGGGCTTGTCAAGCCTGTCTGTCAAAAAGTCCTCAGCATATCACAACTGTGGCAGCGCGAGGGATGGAAGGCGAATGCCCACACACAGAGCTGAGCAGCATGAGAGCATTGCAGCAATGCCCTGGTTTACGGTCAGCCACTTCCAGT